GGACAGATAGGACAGATAGGACAGATAGGACAGATAGGACAGATAGGACAGATAGGACAGATAGGACAGATAGGACAGATAGGACAGATAGGACAGATAGGGCAGATAGGACAGATAGGACAGATAGGACAGATAGGACAGATAGGACAGATAGGACAGATAGGACAGATAGGACAGATAGGACAGATAGGGCAGATAGGACAGATAGGACAGATAGGACAGATAGGACAGGTAGGACAGATAGGACAGATAGGACAGATAGGACAGATAGATAGGATAGATAGGATAGATAGGATAGATAGGATAGATAGGAAAGGATAGATAGGAAAGGATAGATAGATAGGATAGATAGGATAGATAGGATAGATAGGATAGATAGGATAGATAGGATAGATAGGATAGATAGGATAGATAGGATAGATAGGATAGATAGGATAGATAGGATAGATAGGGTAGATAGGATAGATAGGATAGATAGGATAGATAGGATAGATAGGATAGATAGGATAGATAGGATAGATAGGATAGATAGGATAGATAGGATAGATGGATAGATAGGATAGATAGGATAGATAGGATAGATAGGATAGATAGGATAGATAGGATAGATAGGATAGATAGGATAGATAGGATAGATAGGAAGATAGATAGATAGGTAGATAGGTAGATAGGTAGATAGGTAGATGGATAGATGGATAGATGGATAGATGGATAGATGGATAGATGGATAGATGGATAGATGGATGGATGGATAGATAGATAGATAGATAGAGAAATAGATTGATTGATTGATTGATTGATTGATAGACAGATAGATAGATAGATACATAGATAGATAGATAGATAGATAGGTAGGTAGGTAGGTAGATAGATAGTCGTAGGTAGATAGACAGACAGACAGACAGACAGATCGATGGATGGATGGATGGGTGGATGGATGGGTAGACAGACAGACAGACAGACAGACAGATAGATAGATAGATAGGTGGATAGATAGGTAGATAGGTAGATAGATAGATCAGACAGACAGACAGACAGACAGACAGACAGGCAGACAGATAGATAGACAGCTGGATAGGTAGATAGGTAGATAGGTAGATAGGTAGATAGGTAGATGGATAGATGGATAGATGGATAGATGGATAGATGGATAGATGGATAGATGGATAGATGGATAGATGGATGGATGGATAGATAGATAGATAGATAGAGAAATAGATTGATTGATTGATTGATTGATAGATAGACAGATAGATAGATAGATAGATAGTCAGAGAAAGAGAGAAAGAAAGAAAGAAAGAAAGAAAGAAAGATAGAAAGATAGATAGATAGATAGGTAGATAGGTAGATAGATAGATAGATGGATAGATAGATAGATAGTCAGAGAAAGAGAGAAAGAAAGAGAGAAAGAAAGAGAGAAAGAAAGAGAGAAAGAGAGGAGACATTAATCACCTTTCGATCCATCAGTGGCTTCGCTCTGCCATCCGTGATTCACAACAACCAACCTCTCCTATAGGTTTCCTATTTTTGAAACTTCCGCCACCGCCTTGTGCGGTACTACTGGTATCAAATCATTGAATTAACCAATTAACTCGCTTTCTTCGATCTGCTTCAATTCGCCCACTACTGAGAAAACTGTTTCAAGGGTCACAAGTTTGAAGCCATCTCTTTAAATCAGAATAGTCATGACTTGTTCAGCCTAACCAGTCTGCAGAATCTGCCAGGATCTGCCAGGTCTCTACTACGAAGATTCTCCGCCAACTCCGGTTACATTGCTTTGCCAAGAAATGGGGTGTGTCCCAATTTATGGCTTAAGCTGGGGAAAGTGGTGATGAACCACTTGAATTATGGGGGCCCTGTCTGTTTTTGGGCAAACTAACCCACATCCACTTACCCAATTTCTGACTGGACTGTGCTATCACTTGTCCCAAGAAAAATACACACCACCCAGCCATACCCAGCCCCCCCATTGTCAGAACCAGCCAGTAAATGCCATCATACTCCGACAGACCAGGCTCTGTTTCCAGGTTCAGCATGTAAGTCAACTGCTTCACTGCATGAAAGGCCTGGAACATCTCAATCATGATCTCCTTACAGGAACCAGGTCTCGCTCTTTCTGCGTTGTTGGGGGGCCTGCCAAGTTTGCTGCTTTGTGGGAGTTAATCCCTGACCTTGTGCAGGACAATTTGGGACAACGATTCACGCTTGACCCATGTCGGACCCCATAGCCACAAAATTCCCGGATTCCATAGGCAAATGCGCTACAATGCCGCTACAAAACATCCCATAACATCCCAAAACCATCAATCTCGAATATCCTCCAACTGTGCATAGTTGAAACATGTTGAGATCCAACTGATTTGTGATGACATGCTCCAAGCTTCATAGCCAGCTTCCAGCTCATGCCCGACTTCGTGAAAAATGCCAAAGGTCGCCACAAAGGTTCCAACGTTCGTCAAGCCTACCGGAATGGCTGCCATTGGAGGATCAGGAAGTTCCAATCAGACTGTGACATGACCACAATCATAGAATTGATATGAAATGAAATCCTTTTGGTTTCGAATAATCATACGTAAGTTCACAATCTTTCTTGAATCATTTTAGTCCACTACAGTACTAGTACGTCCACTGGTCCCTGGTACAGCATAGATACGTCTGTGACTGACAATGCTTCCTTTCATCAGGGCTGGAGGTGACACATTTTTGGGGCCGAGTCTGGCGTCAATCTGTTAAATCCAACAGATTCAAACAAGGGCAGTCACGATACCAAGCTCACAGAAATGCCTGAGTAACAGGACAGGAAAAGCCAAAGTTGTGCAGAGAACCCACAGCTCACATGGGGCAATTCCAATCAGGAAGGCATTCAGCGTTCATTCCCTGGATATTCCCTGGAATTCCCATATGGATATCCCATATGGATATCCCATGGATCAAGCCTGGCCTTCTTGTAGTTGTTGGACGCCAATGACGGCATACGCAGCCATGGAAAGTGTCCTCAGATCTCCCCTGGATTTGCATGGAATACCTGGCAAGTCTGCTGTTTGAGTCCCGGCTGAACCTAGCAAAAATCTAGGATCGTCGGAACCGGTACAAAATGTAGTTCCATGCATGAAGCAGCACATCCAAAGGAACACTTGCCCAAGGAGTTTCAACTCAAATCCTTCTTTGTGCTGGAAAAAATGCTGGTCTGGTCTACGAATCTCCTGTGATACTCTTCGCTCAAAGAACTGACAAGACTCGTGAGCCATGGGAAGAAACGGCCGTTGTTGATGTCCACAAGAGCTCCAGCCTACAAACGACACGCTGCAACTCGTAGTTTTTTCTTGTAGTTGCACTTACCGTGTGCTTCAACTTCGCCAATTGAGAATGGATTTGTAGAGTATACTACTTGTGTTTAGGGCAAACCAGCATATTGGATTGGCTCGATGGTCACGTTTGGCCCAGAAAGGCAACAGCATCGCAGGGGATCCGTGCCTGATTAAAAGCCCAATTCCAGCGGGCACAACACCACTGTTCAGTACTTGGCCGTACTTGGCACCAATTTGAAACATAGTCAAAAGATGTCAAAAGCAAACAATGTCAGGAATCAGCCATGACAAGCTACTCCCAGTTTTAGCACAGACTGATGTTCCCCTGGAAAGTTCCATCGCAGTTCTATCCAGTTCTGAAAGTAGAGCGCATTTTTTTATTATCATCCCAATCACAATCGAGTCCCACCCAGTTTTTGGTGAACTCAGCCAGTGGGATCTAGGCAGGCCCCACTCAGCCAGTGGGATCTAGGCATATCACTCAGCCAGTGCATCTGGGTGACTCCGGTGGCTTTTCGATACTTCATGGCAGTAGCGGAGAAGCGGTCCACCGCTTTGGAACGCTTGCGATAGTCCTTTTAAGCATCTGCGTCTAGCGGTCGAATGTGTTTAGCCGTTTAGCTACCTCGTAAAGCTAAAGAATGCTAAAGATAGATAGGGCGATAGTGGTGAATCACGGTGAATCCCAAAGATCCAAAACTAAAAGACTCATCCTTTGGGTCGCTGCACATCAGAACCACATCCGCCATGTTTTTCAACACACTGCTGGGCAACCGGAAGATTTTCTCTTGAGCCTTCTGGCTTTGACTGAAAATTCCGGGAACACCGCATAATCTGCTGGTTTAGAAAAGCGTTTTCCGTAATAACGATGCCTTACAATGGGGTATCCACCGTTTTCAGACAACCGAAATTACCAAAGATGCTGCGAAATGGATCTGTCATGGTCTTTCTGAAGACAGAACCACCAAATTTGGGAGTGATTTTGAGCCAAGGCGCCAAAATCATACCGAAGTTCATGCAGGCTTGGTGTACGCCTGTCATTCAGAACCGAAACCATCCAAAAACTGAACCTGCGTCCACCGGCGCTTGAGATGACAAACCATAGTTCTTAAATCCAAGAAACGCAAGAACTTGCAGTATAGTATAGTATAGTATAGTATAGTATAGTATTAGTATAGTGGTCTCCAAATAACTAGAAACGACTAGAAGACATGAGGTTCCCCCGCCACTGTATAGCACCAGAGGAGATCTGAACTGAAGCCCGACAGCTGGAGGCAGAAGGACACTTCGTCTAAATTCATCTAAATTCCCGGTCATCTTCCTAACAGACACACTTGAGTGATTTTGAGTGCAAAGGCTGCTGGCCCAAGCGCCACATGGCCCACTTTGCCTCGAACCAAATCATTGGCGGCCTTCACTTTTGCGTCCTGGAAGACTCAAGAAATGGCGATCAAATGACAATATCATCTGTGGATGTTCATCTGCAGTTGCGAGAGAAACAAGAAGTACCAATTGTTTCCAGAAGTTCCTCAAATCTTCATCTTACTGGTGCGTTTTACGTAGGGAATGGATGGGTTGCTGGGGGTTGCTGGGATGATTATTACTAGTGATGACTGGGATCATTCCCGAAAATTTCCTGCGTAAAACGCACCAGTAAGTCATCAGGGTACCCTACCAGTGTCCTGCACTTCGCGCAGCGTTCCCCTTCGAATGGCCATCCAAATCACCGCCAGAACTGGATACACTGCAAACGGCACGATGGCCAGCTGATCCCTGGCTGCACAGATCTTTCCTAACATGGAAGGAGTTACCTTTAAAAAATGTGGTAACTCAACCATGAAAATGAGGATTTAACCGACAAAAATAGGGATTTCAGTGTTGACCCTCTCGTGAGGAAAAATGGTCCAATGAAAGCAAAGTTGATAAATGACGTTACTTTCAATGTCACAACACTACGTTGCCAAAGTACAACTTGAAGGAAAAATGATTTGTGGGAAAATTACGCTATGCCTCCATCCAATTCAATTCCATCCAATTCAATTCCATCCAGTTTCACCAACAACACACCTATTTCTCCCCCATTCTCTGCACGATTTACCTGCTATTTCTGTTGGAACAACTGGGTTTGTCCAAAAATGGGGTAGGTCCCAATGCCATAGGATTACAATCAGTATTTCCCATTTATTGTTTGTATGTGTATATATATAATTATATATATAGTTATATATATAGTTATATATATATATGTGTGTGTGTTTGTTTGCTTATTTGTTTATATGTGTTTTCATGTCCAAAGTGCCCTATATGAAAAAAAAAAAAGCAGTATCTTGAATTGGGGGATAGCCCCTCATTATGGACAATAACCATCTTTCAAGACCCGTCGTCGCAGGGCCAAGCAACTCCATGAAGAGGAAGACCATCGTCACCAGGATCTGACCTCGCAAGTTTTGCAGTGGATGGGCACTGCACCAAGATCACTACATTGTTACATCACTTCACATCACATTACACCCATGTTGCGTTACATTACATTCCATTACATCGCACTACTATTTATATTATCTTATTTATACAGTATTCTGCAGTCAGTATATACAGTATATACATATACATCATATACATATACATCAAACATCATATACCGTCTCTAGAACCAACGGGTTCCATTTCACTATTTTGAGGGTCAACAAACAAGTCCTCAGTTGATGTGTCATTCCGCAGCACTGCCGCAGAAACTTCGGACAAATCTCAGGCGGACGCCCCCTGAACAATGACGTGACCCCCTTCTTGCTGGGATCGGATTGGAATATGATGTTAGCAGCTGTTAGGATTGAGGGCTTCGCCTGGTTTTTTTCTTCCTCGATGTTCAACTCCTTTATTTTTGCGTTGATTTTCTAATGATTGATTGATGTGAAGTGTGACGTGCTGTGCTGGAATCGCTTCTCTGCCAAGGTGCACAAAATCTCCACAAGCTTGAAGATGCTCCTGACATCACCACACAGCTCAGAAGTTCTACAAGTCCTACGCCGTAGGTGTCTTGGAATGCGGGGTTGTCTCTGCGAATCCGTCCGCACCAAAGGTGCTGGAGCTTGTCAGCTTAGTGCCGAGCAAAACGAACCAACGGTACAGCTTCAGCTTGGGGGGTGGCATTTTCAAAATCGACAGACCGCCAAAAGCGCACGAGACTGTAGCTTATGTAATTATGTTTAATTTGCGCGTTTATAACACCGGCACAACATCGTCCAAAATCATTAATTCGAGCCAACATCTGCACACGGGTCAAACTGGACCAACTTGTCCCCAACTGGGGCCCAACCTGGTTACACAGCTCGGGCCCAAGTTGGGCCCAACACGGGCCAATATTCCTGACCCAACGCGAAGTGCTGAAAACACGCTTTTACCGCAATTTCCCACGCTTTTTGGTTTCAATAGGGATTGACCTTGATTGTTCCCAAACACGCCCAAGTTGCGCCATGTCGGACCCATGTTGGACCCAAGTTGGCCCCCAACTTGGAGCCCAGTGGTCCAAGTTGGGCCCAGGTTAAGCCAGAGTTGGGCTGATCTCGGCGCATGTTCGGCTCAACTTAAGGCATCTTAAGGTTGCCAGTCGGGGTGTGGGCGGTGCAAATGAATCCCATGGCAGACCTTTGGACAATTGGATGACAGCAACATGCTCTCCAAACGCAGGGGTCAACGTTGGGCATGGAGCTCATGGAATCACAAATGGTGTCAAACTCCTTTCCATCGTAAGATGCTGTACCCCCAAGTTAGTCAATCTCTTTTTGGACAAATGTCTTTCCGTCATATTTCCAAAAAGTTGGATCCGTCAGTCCCTGCTTTCGGAAAACTCGGAGCCTCTGCTTTCAGCCGAGGCTCATCACGCCGCCGGAGATCAGTTCAGGGATATCACGAATGCACATCATGGAGATCTCTGCATCCGACCTTGGGTGATGCCATGGAGAGCAGAGTCAGAGGCAGTGGGCATCAGATCATTTCGCTACAAGCAGAAATACATAATATAGATAATATGTATATGTGTATATTATCATTAATAATATATGTATATAGTATATCAAGGATAAATATATGCGGATATTATAGATTGCCACTCACTGCTGGTCTGCATGCCTCCTTTTCAATTGCCCATCCTCCAAGCAATTAACCCAAGTTTTTAACCATTTTAACCATGGCACATATAAATGCCGAATGCATCTGTTGAAACAGCGAACTAGAGAGAATCCACTGATCTTGGGCGCAGAGCAAGCCCTGTGACACTAGCCAACATGCATCTGTAGGCGAGGCACACATGCTGGCGAACTTGGGATTTGTAGCTCATGAAGCGGCGGAAAAGTGCCGACATCAGCATCGTCTTGAGGGCTCCGGCAAGTCCTAACTTCGCCTGTCCGACGGCGTCCCGATTGATTTGTTGGCTCGTTGCAGGGATCTTCCTCCATACACTGAGAGCATACACTGGATATCACTGGATCATACATGTTGACAGCGGGCAAGGCTTAAATGTTTAGCCAAGACAGTTCAGTGATCACCTGGCCACTGAACACTTTTTGCACTCGCATGCACTCGCCATGTCTTTCTACTAATGGCAGACCTGTAGTGATTTCGACTTTGCTCAGTGCCCAAGGGCATACTTACACTGACACACATGGTACGCATGCAATTCATGATGCCCATTTTTCAACATCCAATGTTGGGAGACTTTGCATCCTTTGCCCGCCAGTGCCCGCCAAGTCACTCTGACTAAATCAAGGATGTGAAGAATTGCGAAGGGGATGACATAGCACCTTAGAGTTGCAGGAAGTTGCAGGCTATTCCAATGGAGTACCATCACCATTACCAATGCTCAGTGCAAAAAAAAACATCCTCAATCAATCACCAATGTTCTGCGCCAAAACTGTTTGAAAGGAAAGTCTTCCTGTAGATTGCGCGGTATTCATTATATAATTGGTTCCTATCAAACGAGTGCTTTTTTGGAGCCATCTACTGGTATCAATCTCCTTAAAACTGTTGTCAGCTGCCAAGTTTACGACGGGAAAAAGACGGGAAAAAAAAAACCTGAGGAAGGCACATTCCAACGACCAATGCGGTGGCTTCGAGGTTTCCTGGACAAAGGCCAAAACCATCGGCAGTGTCACAAATACTTCGGGTCACAATGTGGAACTGATAAGGATTATCGCGATGATGATGGTGGCCGTCATCTTTGTCATCATTGTCATCGTCATCATTGTCATCGTCATCATTGTCATCGTCATCGTCATCATCATCATCATCATCGACAACAATTCCGTTTTTCCCAGCTCAAGGGTCCTGGAACCAGCAATTCCTCACCAAAGAGACCGCCTGATTCAGTTCCACGGTCGATGCCTTCGAACGACAATCGACGTTCCGACACCGTTTCGGACCCCTGAGAGCCCTCGTGCCCGTGGAGTTTGCCAGCCTCAGAGGAGTGAGACTAGCGCTGGTGAAACCAAAAAATATCCTTGAAGCACCTGAAATCACCTGTAAAATAGCTATCAAATGCGGTCAACAAATGCCAGGATTCAACGAGTTTGTTCGAACCCAGGGAATTGAAAAAACTAAAATCAAAAAATCCGCCCGCACCGAAGGTGCTGGGGCGGGATCTTCCGGATGGCACTCGTAAAAGGTTACAGGTTTACCTGGGGGGGGGGGCATTTTTCGGCCAAAACCTCCTGTTTTTGATAGGTCGTGACGCTCGCCTTCAAAAAACACTGTAAAAAAACAGTACGGAAGACACCTGTTCGTGAACGCGCCCGTCCAAAATCGGCAAGCGAAAAGTGAAAAAAACCCGTGTTTTTCAACTTTTTGACCTCAATTTTTTGGTTTGCAACATCTTTTTTTGCGGTTCCGCAGGTGGCCGGGCCTGGAGGCGGATTTTTGAGTTTTTGGACCCGTTTTTGGATGAAAACATCGTAAATACCAGTGTTTTTTGACGTTGGTTAAAAAAACACTGTAAATTACAGTGTTTTTGGCCACCTGACCCTCAAAAACAATGGTATTTGCAGTGGTTTCTGCTTCTCACCGCGCAAAAACACTGTAAATAACAGCAATTTCGCCGTTTTTTCATGTTTTTCGTTATTTTTTGAACTGCGTTGGTCCGCTATACATGGCTATCAAATTCTTCGCGTTTTTTTTTCCGACAATCAGTACTTTCGGATGTTTTTGGTCTCAATGGCCGACATCATTGGCAGTTACGAGCGGCTGCCCAACGATGCGGTGCGGGCGGTTGCCGTCGCGAAGCGACGTGAATATTTTGTGGAACCGCCAACCACTAGTTCTGGTTCATGTTGACACTGGTACCATTTGGAAAAAAGCAAATTGGCTGTATATGCTGTATACTAGTATCGCCATCTGAATACTAGTAGCGTCGCTGCCTGGTATCGCCTTGTGTTGTGCTGAGGAACCCAGGGTCTAATGTCAAGACATTTACAGCGAAACAGGAGTTCAGACAGACCTATGCAATCAACTGGTAAAATCTGCGGTTGTGTTCTGCATCAAGCTCCCGTTTTGATGTGTCCATGGTCTTCATTTTGCTACCCCATGCCATCCAGAATTCTTCTGCGAATGTCCCGTTGCAGTGGAGCTGCTTCAGCTGCTTTCGCCAGCAAGACGTTGATGAGGTAGACCTTTAAATAGATGGTCCTCAGTCGTCTCAAACCGCATCAATCAGCAGCGCCCTGGCACAAAAAAGCCTCCCACTTGGCATCCCAGATGCAACAAAAAGTATGCATTGTGCATCACAGAGATCACCACCTCGGCTGGGTTCAGGAGGTCAAACCTTCAGGTCTCGTTAGAGTGTGGTTACCTCATGTTTCACGAAAAAAGACATGAACTGTTATAAAAAGTTTTTGACAGACAAGTGACTAGGATCTTAATTAATTGAGAAACAGATGGAAACCGCTGGCATGGCCTTATGGTCCTGAGAGAACTAAACCAACAGAGACGTTATGGAGGCGTTTATGCTCGCAAGAGAAGCACCAAGAGTGACCCTTCTGCAGCCTGGAGGCCGACACACTTGCTTTCCATGGAACCTCTGCTTGATTCCAACATAGTCGAACAAATGCGGATGCAAAAGTCCTGCAAGACTGGCACGAGATGAAACTCATTGACAACCGAATACAGTAGAAACTTGAAAACAGGCAGCTGAGCATGCTGAGCTGTAGATTTTAGTATGGACCAAGTCCAAACATCAATTCCTGCTGAAGGTGACACTGGAGCTGGAAGAACTACTTCAGAGAGAAATTGATTTTCCGATTTGCAAAAGACAAAGAACACGCAATTTCTAGACAGGACGTCTTTTTTGGACATGAGCATCAGAGTACACAGCACTTTCTCTGTGAAAGATTCAAAAGCCTCCCAAGTCTTGAAACACCGAACAACAGCCACACACACAGACAAAAAAAAACATCTGTGGCAATAGCTCCGGGTCCAGCGTGAAACTACATCCAATTCATTCAGAAGAATGAACTGTTCCAGACTGTTGTCAGGAAAATAGTCCTGACGAGACACTTGAGGAATCTTGAGGAGATGACACGAGGATGGGGTTAAAATTGGAGTATGCCCACGCACATGTTGCCTTTACAAAACCATCCGCTTTGCGAAATGTGGTGCCACATTGGGGTTTTGACCGCCCACATGCCAGCAAAGGGTTGTGAACTGAGTGCTCAGGAGAAGATGCTACCATTGCCATGTGGGCTTTTACCACTGTTACTTTGTCACGGGAGTCAAAGGTTGCTCCCAGCATTACTGCGCCTGGTCAATGATTTTCACCCTGCAGCCCCCGCCGCGAATATGGCAATCTTGAGGGTCGCTGAGCTTGACTGCAAACTCCTACGAACAAAGTCTTTGACTTGAGATCACTGGACAAGGACACCAGAAACAGCAAACATCAACAATGGAGGACGGACCACAAATAGTTCGTCCAAACAGGATACCGAAACTTTGTCAGCGAATCTATCGACACCTATGTGGGATGAAAAAGGAGGTTGATTTCTTGCTACTGCAGTGATGGACCCTTGCCAGTTACAATTGGGTTTATAATTCCCAGCAAAGTCGAATAGATCATCTGCTAATCATTACAAACCCCATTCAAAACCTGATCTGTCACCCTATCAACTGGTACTTGAGGGTGTTTTCAGCCGGATTTGTATGGATTTTGTCCGGAAGTACGCTACCCTTAAATCCTCTGGTTTATCATAATTTTGGCCAAGTGAATATGGTCATAGATTGACATGATTGCCTCCAAAACTCATTAAAACTCATTAAAACTCATTAAAACTCATTAAAACTCTTATTTTCAGAGCCATGCAGCTGGGAGCCACAGTGACGTTGGCAGTTGGCAGTTCAAGTGACGAACTGCTGTCCTCGCAGGTGTGCCAGGAAGAGTCTCGAAGAATTGGCACTCGCACCACCGCTTCGCTCTGGCCAGAAGCAAACCTGAGGATCGGTGCCGTCGGTGTCGATGCCATACCTTAAGCTTAAGGTACTGCGCATGGTAATTTTTTGAGTTGTTTATATGGTTTTAGCTTGGGTGTGCCTGAAAATGGGGGCCACAAAAGGGGAATTATAATAGGGAAATATAGGGAACATGATGATTAACCATGGGATACCCCGAAAACATTCTATTGTAGTTTGTGAATTGGGATCAACATCCCAAGTTGGATGGTAATACTGTCTGCGATTGTCTCAAAACGGGGCATTTGACGCCATTCCAAGGGGGAATGTGATGAGAAACTCTGTTTTTCATGGGTCTGAATTTTGAGACAACCCCATCACACTTGTAATGTACATGTTTCCAGTGAAGAACTCATATAACCTGAGAACACCCACTGTCTGCAGAGCATCACTTTACATTTACACCCTACCTTCCTTGCAAACTCGGAAGCGTGAACGGCGTGAATCTGTGGTTTGCCTGTGGAGAATTCCCGCGATACACACATAAAATAAAACAAAGAAGTGGAAGCGATATATATATACATACATATGCATATTTATATAAAATATAATATAATATAATATAATAAAATATAATATAATATAATATGTATATATTTAGTGTGTGAATTCAGACATGTGAACATCCATGCACTCCGTCAAGGTCTACATTTCACTGGTCCTTTAGGGCTCAGTTCCAAGGGGGTTAGCATAGCCAAACAGCCCAGCGTGCGCCGGGGGGCGCCATAAACGGTGGTGGACCGGGGAGTCCGTGGAAAACCAGGGGTCATTGCCTACCACTTTCTAGGTTGAGGCGACCATCAAGGTGAAGAAGGTGAGAAGAGAGAACCGCTACCAGTTTGTATATATATATATATACATAATATATATATAATATAATATTATATATATATTATATTATATATAATATAATATATATATATAATATATATAATATATATATATTATATATATAATATATATAATATAATATATATATATAATATATAATATATAATATATATATAATATATATAAAATATATAATATATATATAATATATATATATATATTACATATATAATATATATAATATAATATATATAATATAATATATATACATATTACGCAATCGTTTAAAATCATTAACCAACAACCAGCAGTCAACATAACTAGCCACACAGCTCGGCAGAATTGGGCCAGGAAGCTCCACATATTGGTCGATACTTCCATACCGAAAGCCCGCCTCTGCAGGGAACCCAAAATGTGCATCTTGGACGTGCGGTTGGAAAACTCACCATTTTTTTTAGTAGCTCCTTGGCTCGTCATGTATTAAGGAATATGCTCCCATCCATAATTTCTTAGCTCGCTCCCAACCAGAAGATAGTGAGAGTGAAAGCAAATTTGCCATTAATTGTGGCTCCCTGGTGTCTGATGTTTGAACCCATTAAATGCACCAATAGTTTCTTGATCAGTTCCCAAGAATTCATAATTGAAAGCCCAAATCTGGCTTGAAAACCTGTGTTTGTTGATCAAATCATCGAAAAAACTGCTTGCCCAAAACATCTTCAAAGCAATAATTTACTTTGTCCAAACCTTGGGTAAATAATTTATATTATGTATAGCAATATTTTTACTTATCAGCAATATTTTTATGTACTCCAATTCTGATAAGTGATAAGTCTGTGGCAAGCAATTTGCTAACACTTGCCTCACCTGGCCCGACAAATCCTGGGTAAAGCAGCGCACTCGGCATGCGTTGCTAGGCTCCCCCGAACGGAGGACAACTAGCTCCACCTCGCAGGATTTATCCAGGGCATTTTGGTGGCGCTTGATACGGCGCCCTGTGAAGGTGTATTTATTTTGAAGGTCTTGGATTGGGGTGGGGTGGGGATGTGTTAAACGTTCTTGATAGGACGTCGTACGTTGTGGATGTTACGCCGAAGGTCTTGGATTGGGCTGGGGCGGGGATGTTTCAACGTTCTTGATATAGGACGTCCTACGTGAAACAGTTTGACTTTGAAAAACTTAAGAGAGCCCCTGGCGCTGATGTTGAAAAAGGAGGTCTTGCGGTTGCCCACAGAGATTATTTACCAAACCACTCGAATTCCAATGATGTTCTTTTATTTTTCTTGGCACCTTCAATCAGAAAATAAGACTTTCGCTATAGCGAAATACTCATTTTCACCATGAAGTCATGCGCCCACCTTGTTGGTCATGTTTGATATTGTTTGATGTTTGTTTGATGTTGTTTGATGCGTAGGACTGACAAGCACCAAAAACTGAAGAAAAATCGGACCCGCAATGTTTTTATTTGGTGGTCTTGGTGATGTTTGGACCTAATCATCCAATTTTCGGGGGATGTCGAACTTCAGCTCTTGCGTGCTTTTATTCATGTCCCAGCCAAAGTCTATGGAATCTGGGCAAATTATCATCCAGCAAATTGACAATATGGATTATCCAACAAAAACCCACCATTTGTAGATCATTTCCAGGACCGTTGGGAAGTGTTGGTAGCTTGCCTCGTCTTGCTCCTCTGTTGCGTAGAAGATGTTTGTTGCCTGGGCAACACTTAAGCTTTTGGACAATAGCTGTGAAAAACATACTATAGCAATGTGCCCCTGCCAGCTTTAAATTATAAATATGATACAAATATAATACATATATATATATAACTATGTATATATAATATGATATAATGTGTATATATACATTCTAAATACATTATACAGTAAATAGGGTTCTACCATGTTCTACCCTAATGAGGTTTACCCACTTGAGATGATAAGCCCGGCTCTAAGTGGGCCACCGGAAAGTCATTTCCGGTTAGAAGTTCGCCAAGTTGCAAAGCGCACGAGGTCGTCGTCGTCATCCGACATCGTATTCTAAAGGTTCTGATGTGTGGCTCAAGCGCTCACACCTTTTTGTTGCTTTCATATGCTTCGAAATTGCTTCAAACTGGAGAAAAGTGCAGTTGCTGCGAAGAATGAGTGTTTTGACTTCTGCTCTTCACACCAAATAGCTGTTGCTTACCAGGCGTATCATGTTCATACGCCGATCTATCCATGGTTCGCGCTGCTACCGATGCATGCTCAAAAATCATTTCGCTGCAAAGGCGTCTGAATCCCCTCGCAAGAAGAGATAGAATAGTGTCTTTGGGGATCTTCAGCAAGCCCATGTTGGATCATTTTGGGCTCACTTGGAATGGGTCGAAAACCCTCGAAGGCCCTGGTGTTTACAAGAAAATCTCTGGTGCTCATGGATCTTCATCCCCCGATCTGGGAAAATTAATTTTTCATGAATCGCAGGTCCTAGGTCTCAAAGCCCGTCCCCATGGTGAAAAAAAACCATCTTGGTTGGGGAAAAAATCCACTATTTGTTGCTTAAGAATCCTCGATTCTTCCTCCGTCTATCCTACATCTGTCCTTGATCTACCATCTGTTTCTGGGGTTTTCCATGTTTTCCCAAGGTCCATATAGCTTCACCACTGGGCACGAGAAGAAGTCAGGTGAGACTTCCAGATCCTCCTCCAAGAAAATCACCTGCACCAAGACCACCCTTTTCTATGCTGGAAAGGTTATTGGAAGCATCAGAAAACCATGGCTTTTGAATGGGTTTACCATCTGGTTATTTAACATAGCCATGGAAAATGGCCCATTTATAGATGGTTTACCTATTAAAAATGGTGATTTTCCATGGCTATGTTAAATAACCAGATGGTAACTCTTTTGACTCTTTTGACCATCAAGCATTGGGGTTTCGCCTAAGTCTTCCCTTGGGTGGGATCTAATCTCTGCTCCCTAATGCTAAAACACCCCCCCAAATGCTACATGGTGATCTATTTTTATTATTAGGGGGTGTTTAGTATTAGGGTGCCCCTAATAATAAAACAAAAACCTTAATTTAACAAAAAACGATTTCAAAATCAATTAAATCCCTTTTTGAAATCCTTTTAAAATATTGCCAAAAATTGGATGTCCAAGCTTTCACCTGATAATAAAACAGAAACCTTAATTGAAGGGGAAAAACGATTTCAAAATCAATTAAATCCCTTTTTAAAATCCCTTTAAATATTGCCAAAGATTGGATTTCGAAGCTTTCCCCTAATAATCAAATTAAAACCTTTATAAAAAGAATAAAAAACATGATTTCAAAGTTGATGGGACCCTAATAATAAACTTACGGGTCTCGTTCTATTTTTATTAGGGGGTACAAACCATTATTTCACCATCCTGTTCTCCTATAGATTTTCAATTACCACAATTAAGAACGCAATTGTGAGCAACCAAAGAAATCCGAAAGTGGCAATCCACTCCTATTCTCATTAATTGGGGGAGTCTTAGCAATAGGGAGAAGAGATTACATGAAGCTCCTGGGGAGAGCACAGTGTCTCCTGAGTTTCAGGCAGCTTCAAAACCAAACTCCTCGAACATCCTGAAGAAAGCTACACGCCAAGTGCTGGGACTGGGACCGCTGGGGCCCCTGGGGCCCCAACCTGGGCTTCAATGATCTTGGTGTAGTGACTTATATAGTGATGTGATACACTTCAAACTGAAACTGGGAACTTCTTTCCTTTGCGTTCTGCACAGTTTGGGCGGGATGAAGGTGCTACTTCACGCTACGAATATGTACAATTTTGTACACATCAAAATTTACAAAACCTTGAAACCTTGAAACGTTCGTTTGCCCCTGAAGGATCCTGAAGGGCCCTCCCAATCTCCTCTTCATTACAAAGCCAAAATGTTGTGCAATCAGAACATAGCCCAGCGCTTGCTTGTTTCCACCAAACCTGGATCAATGTTTCACACCACTGCGAAGCAAGATTTCCATTGGGGTATGGATTGAGGTCATGAAGTCTCGGGTTCTTACCACAACCACCAAAAATCGTCACCAGAAAATACCTTCACAAATGATCTCGTTATACTTATTCTTCTATCAGTGACGACCTTGAATGTCTTTGACAAACAGAAACATGCTGCAAAATGTTGGTGCAAACATGGCGAGCTTCACTTTGCAGCCACTGCTTTGGCATTGGGGTCATGCTCGTGGTGCATGTGGAAGGCCTGGCAATGAATGCTAAAGAATGAGGCTTTGCAATTTCAATTTCAACCAAAGAAAGTTGAGGAATCAGAATTAAGAAAGACATGTACATCTAGCTATATATATAATTAATTATATATATTTATGTATATAATTATGTATATATATATAATTATATATATATATGTACATATACGTTGTATATATACTGTTTTTTCCCGGAATTATCTTGGGCTGAGAACGCGCACCCCCTGATAAGAAATTGGGATCTCGCATTGCGATTTCGTGAAGTTTTCTCTCCTTCACTGGTTCTACTCCCGCCTGGCCAGTCTTGACATAGTTCTTCTGCACCAGCTGTGCGGACGTCCCCGGCATATGAAAGTGACATGGTCCCCCTGACCAGCCCTGGAATACTCTGCCCCCCTTCCCAAGTCTTGCAAAAACAAGTCAGCTCAGGAATTGGCATTCGGAATGTTCAAGATTGCTGACAATGAGTACCCAAGCGTGCCAGGAGTTAAAAGAAGTTTGAAAAAATGAGGTGTCCGACACCAAAGGAGCCATATTGGGAGAGATTCCATCCGACACTTCACAAACAATCACCGGCCTCCCGCATTGGGGCATCATAGGCATCCTGGCCAAGCTTGTCCGCGCTTGATGTCATCAGGACCCCAACTGTCCCAAAAATAACTCAACATTCAGAGCTATGACATTTGTTAGGGCAGCTGGGAGTCACATCAGGATGCCCTCCGCAAAATCCAGAAAAACACTGCTTGACATTGACTGCAAGTGATGCGTTGAGAAAACAAGTCAAAACGACTATACCAGTTTACTCAATATTTACATATTTACATATTATTTACATTATTTACAGCCTTTATATCCATCCAGATCATCCAGCAGAATACCCAGATCTTGACATCATTCCATATCATTCCAGCAACCCCTGCAGCATCGCGGGATCCTGTGAAATGACCAAGGGAAACATCGAGGGATCGCGAGGAGCTCGGAAGATGGAATCCATGGCCTGGGAGGGACAAAATTCGTGCATAACCATCGTGTTAGACCGTTAGTTATAACCATAGTTTAATAAAAAACAGGGATATCTACAGTACAGTTCTATATGTGTATATATATATATATTCATTATATAATCATACATATACATATACATATATATATAATTATATATATGTGCACATGCCAAATGAGCACAGATGTTTCACAGATGTTATGGCAAGGAACCAACAAGATAAAAGTTGATAAAAGCTTCAAAGTCTTGGTCCGCAAAATTGAAACTCAATGCGAGATGGAACCAGCACTGATGTATTCGAGACCACCTGCACAGTAAACATCTCTCCAGGAAAGTATCGGCTTACTTCAGTTCTGAAGACTGAGGAGAGCACTCTTGTCAAGTATTTCGGCCGCTTGCACCTCATGAGATTCATGGAGGTTGTTTCAACAACTAACAACCCTTGACAATCCATCACTGGATGGATCCAAGGCCTACGCAACTGAGTCGTGAGTCAGCATCCCAAGAATCAACAGAACAATGTCCTCCAGGGCCCCAAAAAAGGGCCCTGGCGTGATGATGGCAACGCCAATGGCTCCTTTGGATGCTAACATCCGCAGGGTTTCCTGCACATCAACTGATTCCAAGGGCAGCCGGGATCGCCACCGCTGGCCACTGGACCGGGTATTTGTGTATTGCTCATGATCTTAAAATGGGAAAATATCCCAAGATCAAAAAAAAAACGATTAGAGTCTGGTCATCTGACCAGGTGTGAAACAACACCCTGCAACCATGCTGGTAATCGAAAAAAGTCAAATAAAAGTCAAGGTGGTGGTAGCCCTAGTTGCCTTGTCAAGCGGGACTTGGCCTTTTGAATCCTTTTGACAGGAGGAAACTGTTTCAAGTTTCCCATTGAAGGCATCCACTTCTCCACGTCACGCATCTTCGTCCTCCGTTATCTCCGTTGAAACTGCAGGCAAACGATCAATCACCTGGCATGAAACAGCACGTCCAGGGGTCGCATGCAACAAAGATGCTGGTCATTTGCGGCTGATGTCGATGCCCTAAAAAGACAACAAGGATATGAAGCTCAAATGGGACGATTTCCTTACAATGCTCACCATTCACCTCTGTGTTGCTGCTTACTTTAAATCCAGAGACGGAACATCCTGAGCCACGTCAATGGTTTGGATCAGTGTGGGACCCCGTGGTAGGAGCACAGCTGGTGCATTTCTTGTTCCCTTAGTGACAAACCAAGATACACCAGTCAACCTGGCTTACAAAAAAAAGAAGATATCAGCCTTGAGTGCGAAACTTCAAGTGGCCAGGATTGGTTCCCCACTGGTTCCCCAATGGTTCCCAACAACTCCAGCTTCTCCCCCCCAAAAAAAAATGTGGAGCGGTGCTTCTGCTGCTGGCCTTCGGGTCATGCTCCTGATGTGGGGGATCCACAGCCTCAATGTGAGGATCAAGAATCCCACAACACAGGGGGATGGGTCGGAATTGGAAAACCTGCTGTAGATGAACTCCCAGTTTTTCTTACACAGATAAAGCATGTTGACCAGTTTGATGAATCCTGCGCTGGTTTTTCATGGACCCCAAACTCGTGGATGCATTTCTGCTAGATATATGGATATGCATTCAGTCATTCCTCCTTTGTTCCCACCCAGCACGCAGAAACGCTCTGCACCTTGCTGGCTTTCAGATCCTTGAGCCATGCATTCTCTTTCCGCAGCTCAGCATCTTGTGCCTTGAGAGGTTTGTGATGGTTTGTAGCTCGAAAGAGCGTTCTTAGCGGATTTGGGACATTAAAGAACATCAAGAAAGAGGATAAATTAGAAGAAACAACTTGAGATGCTCGAT